CTTGAGCTCGATTAATTAGAACATTGACTAGGAAATTAAATGTCCGAGTAAGTAAATTGAATCGAACTTTGACTAAATAAATTAGTCGGTTGAATTTACTAAAATAATTGGGCTCAGATTTGAAAATCGACTATGTGCTCGATTTTTTTTAAACGGACTAAAATAAAATCGAGCACAGGCTCGATTAACTTAAATGAGCTGAAATAAATTAATTGGATTCGCTCAAAATTGATTAGGCTCGAATAATTAAATTATTCGGCTTCGATCTGCTTAAATAGAATTTCCGATAATTCCAAGGCTCGATTTTAAAAATATAACCGGTACTTGGGCTAAATAAATTCAACTTTAATAATTAAAATCGAACGAATTCTCCATGTCTTAGATTTTAATACTAATTATTCAATTTAATGCAAATAAATATAATGAATGCATCAAATTAGGAAACTTAATATTTATGGAAATAAAATTAAGTTCCATAAATAGTAATAATAATTTGGGAGTTACATCACGAACCCGTCGTCCCGCGTCTCAGATATCATGTACCTAAGGGTCTCCCCATGGGCCGACAGTGCCGCCACGTGGACTGGGAAACTACCCTTGTTATCGGGCACACACAGCAAATCGAGCTTCCGGCCCACAAGTATCCTGACGGCAGCCGTGTTTCTGGTCAGAGACGTTACGTGGAGGGCCGTGTAGCCGAGCTCCTCCTTCACTCCTCATAGGTCGTCGGGCATTATGTCGACCAGGTTTTGGACAAAATCGAGGGCCTTGCCCATGCCCACGGCTATGTGGAGGGAAGTCTCCAAGGTGAAGCATATTCGGGTCGTGGTGGCGTGTGGGTTCACGTTGATGATCTGTTTGACTCGCTCCTAGTCGCCCATAAGCATGGCTCTGTATAGCGGTAGGTTCTCGCGCACTCGTTATCGGTGGCTTTTGATAAATCAGAAATTCCACAAATGGAAAGCAAGTGTGGTTTATCTCGTGAGCGTCTGCACGAATGAATTAATATTTGACCGCTGAGATGTTTAATATTAATCCCATCCAGTTTTTTTTCTTACTGTTTTCATTCTTTTTGGGCTTAAATTTACCTGGACTTTATTCTGAAGGTCTTTGATGTACCCAATGGCCAAGCCCAAATAGATGAATACGGTTAATAGTTCATTTGCACCACAAACAAAGCTTGAAATTGATCGTGTAGAGAGAGAGGGAGAGAGAGAGAGAGCTAAATACCCGATTATCGAAGCCATTGAAATCCAAAAACACCCTCATTTAACCATCTCGATTCTTTTTCAAGTTGTTGCAGAAGAGGAATCATTCCGTGAGTCGCCGTGTACAGCACGGCCGACCCATATTTATTGTTTTAATATAACTTTAATATGCAATGTCATGAACATCTGAATGTTATTATAATGCGTCAAACTTGTTTCGACTAAACAAATTGCATGAAATCAGTGAAGTTAAAAGAAGACCATTAAATTAAAGCTGATAAAACAAAATAGCCTCACATGACATTTAGATCATATCAAAGTCTACCCCAAATGGAGCTAATTAATGCAAATCTAAAGATACCATAGAAATGTACCAAGGTTATATATCTATGTTCTATAAATTAATATCAGAAGCATGTTGTCCTACCAACAATCAAAACGGACATGTCATCAATAAATATGAAGCAATGTCATCAAAAATAAAAATGAAAGGACAAAAAAGAGTTCTTGATGCGAAATGCTGTAGTGTCTGATGGTACGAGTCGATGCTATCCGAGTGTTTTTTCGTAGAATTTTGAGACACAAGTCTTTTAGAGCATAAAATACAAGCTCATTAAGTGTTTTATTTTGATCTTGCTGAAGATTTTTTGGTGTTGTGAATGGTTTTGGTGTTTTTTTTTTTTTTTTTAT